CAGTTTTACAGTCGAGCTGAGTTTTTGCGCGACTTTAAAGCAGAACATGTAAGCCCCAAGCTCGACGGGTGCGACTTCGAAGAGAGGCTGTAGCTGATCACCTGCCCGGCTTCGTAGCGGGATCGCGACGAATTCGGTCTTGAAACAAATTCATGACGACGACAACGACGACGACGATGGCAAGCATCATCATCGTCGACCTTCCCTCCATTGCCATCATCATCACCGTCGTCATCACAGGCAGAATCGTCACCACTCGACAATCATCCGGTTGGGGAGAGAACGAAAACTCTTCAGGGTTTGCGCCGGCAGTGGTTGCTGGGCAGAGGGCTCAGGGCCAACACCTGAAGCGTGGCAACAGCTCCCCTCTCTCCAGGTTTAGGGTTTAGGGTTTAGGGTTTAGGGGTTTAGGGTTTAGGGTTTAGGGCCTGGCAAATAAATCTTCAGATTCACATGGGCTCTTTTCTAAATTAGGGTCCCTTTTAGGGTCCTCTTTATAAAGGTGCCGTACCATATTGGGGACCCCAAAAGGGACCCTGTTTTAGAAAACTACCCATGAACCTTGGCTGACTTCTGAACCCCTCCAAAAAGTTAAACTTTTGGTCTCCTTACTATGGTTCATATAGAAACCCAAAAAGTTAAAGTCTAAAGAGCCAACCAGAAGAACACCAAGAACCGTCAACAAGTCTAGCAGAACAGACTTGGGAGTTGATTTGCCCTGAGAAACAATGGGCACCGTCCATCGAAAATAAAGGGTTTAGGGTTTAGGGTTTAGGGTTTAGGGAATAAAGCCTCTTCCTGACGCAGCTTCGTTCACGAGGACAGAATCCTTATGACTCGGCGTACTCTTCAAGGCCTTTGAGATGGCTCGGCTAGTTTTTGGGATTTAGGAGTACTGCATTTTCCCGCGCTGCTTTTATTCTCAAGCTCGCAAATACGACATGCAGTTCCTGTCCAAGCGTCTCGAGTCCAAGGTATCCAGCTCTTGAGCGGCTTCGTCCGAGCGAACTTTCACACGGGTCCTTGCAGGGCTCTTCCCCCCGACTACCCAAAACCCTGAAGCTGAACCCAAGAGTGCATCTCAGCAGAGGCCCTTGAAGGCTTTGTCCCTGTAGGGGGGCGTGAAATGTCTACATGTAATTATCGGGGCCATAGTAACTGGAATAGGGTTTTGGGTATACTATACTGAGATTAGAAAGGGACTAGCAGGGAATGCGGTTGCTTATTATTCAGACCTCTACTCTTTTGACCCGTAGCAGACCCTACGGCGGCATCATATAGGGGCCTTAATGATTAGAATAGTGTTTTGGGGGGCGCATTATACTAGAACTATGATACGGAACCCCCAAAATAATAGGTAATTATTTAGGTCCCTACATTCTAGTACCCTTATAGATCCCTTATAGTAACCCCTATAGGCCCCTTTTAAAGGAACCCTAGGAACCCAGGCCCCTACGTTAGGGATCCTTCGACACCGAGTCCCCGGGAGGGCTCCAACGCCAGGGTGGTTTGTTATTTTCTGCCCTTTTGCTCCGTCAGGGTTTGGGGTCCATGACTTTCACGTAACGGCATACATACCTACATACATACATACATACATACATACATACATACATACATACATACATACATACATACATACACAAATAGGTAGATAGATAGATAGATAGATAGATAGATAGATAGGTACGTAAGTACAGACACACAAACAGACACACCTACATACCGAGACAGACAGGCAGACGCACACGAACAAAAATACATACATACGTACATACGCACGTATAATATTTTATGTATACATAAATTTCAATGTGTCGTGACATTGGTCTTTCAGCTAGCCGTATCAAACAGGTTTCTGAAAGATGTCGTCCTCTCGTGCTGACATCGATTACTGTCAGTGGGTTTCAACCTACCTGTCTCACGATGGTCTAAACCCATCTCGCAATCCCTGTTGGCTGATGAACCATCGGGCACTCTGGGCCTTCTGTGTCTCAATGACAGGAAGAGCTGATCTGAAAAGATCAACAAGCAACGTCGCTATGAATGCTTGGCTGCTGCGGGCCAGTTTATCGTTGTGGTAAAGTTTCTTTCTGCGCACATACATGCCTTTTTTAAAAAATCATATATATATATATATATATATATGTGTGTGTGTGTGTGTGTGTATACATATACTTCTGTGTAGATGCTCGTGTGTATGAACCATCAGATGCTGCGGACAAGCTGCAGAGGAAGTCCGGTCACAGCCATGGCTCTCTGCAAGACGACCTCCAGCGGGTTATATAAGCTATATACTGTAGGGGCCTTAATAATTAGAATAGGGCTCTGGGGCCCAGTATACTCTAATTATAATAAGGAAGCCCCCAAACAAGTATTGGTAATTACTTAGGCTTCTATGTTATATAGGAGTAGTGAGGGTCAGGACGAGGCGGCCCTCTGCCACAGCTCGACACCAGGGTTTAAGGACCAGCGTTCAAAGGGTTTAGGGCTTGCGGTTTAATGTAGGGCCTCAATAATTGCCTACTTATTAAAAATATACTAATCAGGACCCCAATACCCTATTCTGATAGCCAAGGCCCCTATATTCGAGCTTCGGGTGCCAGAAGGATACTGGGCTGCTTCTAGACATGAAGCGTGGGCACGCGACCTTGATTGATAGAGAGTTTGGGCAGGTCGCCACAGCTTCGAACTCTCCTCGTCCTCCTGCTACTACTGCCACCACCACCACGACTACTACTGCTACTGCTACTGCTACTACTACTGCTCCGACTGCTACTGCTACCGCTACCCCCAAATAACGTCTCCCTCTGATCGGAGCCCCGAAAATCCTGACGCGTTCGGAGCTTGAAGCAGTCACCCAAGCAAACTCCCGAGCGGTATCGCTTCATGGTTTAGTGCAGTTTACCGTAGGGTGTCGGGTGTAGGTTTTAGGGTTTCGGGTGTCGGGTGTCGGGTTTAGGGTGTCAGGTGTAGGGTTTTGAGGGATGTGCCAAAAACCACAGCAGACGAAGAGTACACTCCTGGAAAAATGGAAGGAAAGGGGCGAGCTCCCTTACAAAGAAGCGGAAGCAAGAGTAAGAGAAGCGACACCACTCACAGACCCCACCCCCTGAACCCTTTAACCCTAGAGCCCTAAACCTTCGAACGCTGAAACCCCAGACGCTTTCACGAAAAGAACCCGTAAACCCTGAACCCTAAACCCCAAGCCCTTAGCCCTAAACCCAAAACCCTAAACCCTAAACCCTAAGCCCTAAGCCCTAAACCCTAAACCCTAGCCCTAAACCCTAAGCCCTAAACCCTAAGCCTAAACCCTAAACCCTAAACCCTAAACCCTGAGCCCTAAACCCTAAGCCCTAAGCCCTAAGCCCTGAAGCGCAGGCCTTTGCTGCAGCACGGATGAGCCGACCAAGAGACTTCGGATCGCTGTCTTGGGCCAACGGCTCGGGGCTCCTTTTCAGGTTAGGGGTTTAGGGTTCAGGGCTTAGGGTTTAGGGTTTAGGGTTTAGGGTTTAGGGTTTAGGGTTTAGGGCTTAGGGTTTAGGGTTTATGGCTTAGGGCTTAAGATTTAGGGCTGAGGGCTTTGGGTTTTGGGTTTAGGGCTTAGGGTTTAGGGTTGAGGGTTTAGCCGCAAGAGCTTTAAGGGTAATGTAGGGGTCTTAATAATTAGAAAAGGGTTTTGGACGCCTTTATAGTATAAGGAGAATAAGGAACCCCCCAAAATAGTACTGGTAATTATGCAGGCTCCTATATTAAAGGATTCATGGGTTAAAGGCATGTGGTTGAGGGATTAGTCTAGGACATTTTCAGGTGGGTAGTAGCGGTTATAGGAGCCTTATAGAAGGTCTATATATATATATATATATATATACTTATGGAAGCCTTATAGAAGCCTTATGTACCCTAAACTCCCCACCTGTAGTTTCCTTAAGACTGGGGTTCAGAGATTAGGGGTTGAAGGGCGCAGGGTTGAGGACCTGAGTGTTTAGTCTTAGAGTGTGTAAGGTTGAGGGTTCGGGCTTGGGCAAACCTACTATTCTTACTAGTTAAGATTGCTATGACTGCGAACATAACTCTTACAGCTCTTGTAGTATTGCTATTATTATTGTTACTAGTATTAATGTTACTATTATTGCTATAAGGCACCAAAGCCTGAACCCTGGAAGGCTTTGGGGTGCGAACCCGGGCTTGGGGAAGCCGGGGGTCTTGGGGAAGCCTGATGGCCCTAAACCCTAAGACCCTCAAGGCCTTAAGCCCTAAGACCCTAAAGGCCTCAAGCCCTAAGACCCTAAAGGCCCTAAATCCTAAGATCCCAAAGGCCCTAAACCCTACGACCCTCAAGGCCCTAAGCCCTAAGACCCTCAAGGCCCTAAAGGCCCTAAACCCTACGACCCTCAAGGCCCTAAACCCTAAGACCCTCAAGGCCCTAAAGGCCCTAAATCCTAAGACCCTCAAGGCCCTAAACCCTAAGACCCTAGAGTCCCAAAGGCCCTGAGTCCTAAACCCCGAAGGCCCTAGATCCTGAACCATGAGGCCGTAAACCCTAAACCTCGATAGACATCAAGGTTGAGGGTGGAGGTGTCCGGGAGGCCCAATCTTCGCGAAATTTTGCACATAATATGGGGGGCCTTAGAAATTAGAATAGGATTTTGGGGGTTCATTTTTATAAATATAGTATCAAGGGCCCCGAAACCCTATTCTAGTTATAAAGGCCCCTATACTACATACATAAATATGACAGCCATGTCGTGGTCGGAAAAATTCAAGCCGGAATCCCTATTTCTCTTATACTCCCAGACTATGACATGACCCTGTTATCATATCAGCTTCTCGTGGGTTTCTCGTGCCTTACAGCTGAAGCATCTCGCCGGTTCGCCACCCAGAGACTCCAATATCCCTTCATTGAAGGATATTCCATAAAATATAGTAGGATCCTTAATATGATTT